CGCATATATATATATATATATATATATATATATATATCTGTCGACCCCTTTTCTCCTTGCTTATCCTTGTTCTTTGCCTTTTCAAAAAGTCACCCACCCTGAGCACTGTTCTTGCATGAACATGCTGAACTTTAGAGTTCTTATGCTATCTGGTTTATTAGTGCTTGTTTTCAGTGCCCCATTAGGAATGTGTCTCATTTTGAATATTTAGGACAATAGAAGTCTTAAAATAAGTTATTAAATGTTTTGGCTAAACCAAATTCTGGATTTTACAGGAGCAACTTCATTTCTTTTCACCGAATATCAGTATGTGGGCGTCTTCATGGTGGCCTTTGCAATCCTGATCTTCCTCTTTCTTGGCTCCGTTGAGGGCTTCAGCACCAAGAGCCAGGCTTGCACCTACAGCAAAGACAAGACCTGCAAGCCTGCTCTTGCAAATGCCATTTTTAGCACCCTCTCCTTCTTGCTTGGTGCGATCACTTCGGTAGTTTCTGGTTATCTTGGTATGAAAATTGCAACCTTTGCAAATGCAAGAACAACACTTGAGGCTAGAAAGGGTGTTGGAAAGGCTTTCATCACTGCTTTTAGGTCAGGAGCTGTGATGGGTTTTCTTCTTGCCGCTAATGGTCTCTTGGTATTATATGTGGCCATCAATTTGTTCAAGCTCTACTATGGTGATGACTGGGAAGGCTTATTTGAGGCCATTACCGGTTATGGTTTGGGTGGTTCTTCTATGGCTCTCTTTGGAAGAGTTGGTGGTGGAATTTACACCAAAGCTGCTGATGTTGGTGCTGATCTTGTTGGGAAGGTTGAAAGGAATATTCCAGAGGATGACCCCAGAAATCCAGCTGTGAGAACCACTTATCCTTTATGATTGTTGCCTATTAAAGTTCTGATACATTTGCATCTATACACTTGCATAACCTTTGGTTTTTTGAAATTCATCTTTATTTGTGTTGGTGTTAATTTTGGTGAGCTTTGTGGATAGTTATTAAAGCTTATTCCTTCCTCTTTTTCCTTTTTTTATAGTCATTTTATCTTTTTCTTTAAGAGCTGCTAATACTTTGTCCATATTTACTCTTTTCCTTTACTTGTTTGCTTTTAATGAGGAAAGTGATCCAGGACTATTGACTCCTGGTTGTTATGTGTGATCTCTGACATACTTTGACCGCTGTTCTATATTTCTATGTATTTTGTCATCAATCTTTGTGTCTTTTTAAACAGTTGACAAAATATGACAACATGCCTTTCTAAATGACCAAATACCTTACAAATTTTTGTTCATTCTCTTGCACAAACTAGCTAATTTTGCTGTTCCCATGGATATGGGAGTGGTTGCCGATGCTATCTGGTAACTTTCGTGCCTTTCTTTTGTTTTTTGAGGAAAAGTCAAAAAGTTTTTCAAATTTTATGCTCTCAATTCTCATGTCTTTCTTAGTCGCCTGTGTATCACTTCTTGTGTCGAGTGAAAGTGCCAATAAGTAGTATATATGCAAATCATACCACTGGTGAAATCTGATATTCAATGGCCCTGTATTTTGAATAGGTTATTGCTGATAATGTTGGCGACAATGTCGGCGATATTGCTGGAATGGGATCTGATCTTTTTGGTTCATATGCTGAGTCCTCATGTGCTGCTCTCGTTGTGGCATCTATTTCTTCTTTTGGAATCAACCATGACTTGACTGGAATGCTATATCCCTTGCTCATTAGCTCTGTGGGTATCGTTGTTTGCTTGATAACCACTCTTTTTGCCACTGATTTCTTTGAGATCAAGGCTGTGAATGAGATTGAGCCTGCACTTAAGAAGCAACTTGTCATTTCCACTGCACTCATGACTGTTGGAATTGCCGTTGTGAGCTGGATTGCTCTTCCTCCTTCCTTCACAATCTTCAATTTTGGTGTTCAGAAGGCTGTGAAGAACTGGTAACGTTTTCTCTTTTTTGAAAGTAGCATTGGTAACTTTTCTTCTTTATTTCTTTTCTTCCAAGAAAAATCAGATTTGATTCTGATTTATGTCATTTGGAATTCAACTAATACGGGTCTTTTTATCTCAATTTGGCAGGGAACTTTTTTTCTGTGTTGCTATTGGCTTATGGGCTGGACTTGTTATTGGCTTTGTTACAGAATATTACACTAGCAATGCTTACAGGTGAGGATGACTTTTGTGGCATACCTATTTGAAAATTCATTAACTGTTTTTGTTTTTTAAATAAAAAAAAGATTTTGACTATTGGATGTTTTCTATTTTGTTTTGAGAATTTGATTATGGGCCTGTCTCCTTCTGAAGTTTTGGTATTGGGTTGCTTTTTTTTTATGAAATTTTATAATGGTTTGTTGTTCAAGAAATTTCTTTTTATAATGGATTGTTTTCATTTCCTTTTCTGTCTAATCTTGACTTCCTTTACATGTTTTACAGCCCTGTGCAAGATGTTGCAGATTCATGCAGGACAGGAGCTGCCACTAACGTAATTTTTGGGCTTGCTTTGGGTTACAAGTCGGTGATCATTCCAATTTTTGCCATAGCAGTCAGCATTTATGTGAGTTTCAGCCTTGCTGCCATGTATGGCATTGCTGTGGCTGCCCTTGGTATGCTTAGCACCATTGCCACAGGGCTTGCCATAGATGCATATGGTCCTATCAGTGACAATGCTGGAGGGATTGCTGAGATGGCTGGAATGAGCCACAGGATTCGTGAGAGGACTGATGCCCTAGATGCAGCAGGAAACACCACTGCTGCCATTGGCAAGGTACTGCATTAGTGTATTGTTGAGCTTTTCTGTGGGTTTTTCTTTTTCTAGGCACTTTGGTTTTTCATTCATTTTAATTGTTTTAACGGTTATGTGCGCTGTCCTCATTCTAATGGTTTCTTTTTTATATTTCAAATTTTCATTGTCTAGTTTGTTGACCACTCCGCAGGTTTTCCCTTTGGTTTCTTTGCATGCTGTCATCTGCTCTGATTGTGTTCATTGTTGATTTTTACATTCATTCGGACATGATGTAATGCGCCATCGCCCCATAAGCCCCTTGCTCATGTGTTATAAATATCTATTTCTGTCTGTCTGTCTCTCTATGTATGTATGTATGTTTGTATGTATGTATTGGTGTATTTATCTTGCTAATTTTCTTGCTTTGGATGCGTGGGCTTGTTTCTTCTTAAAAATTTTCATGCATTTGAATGAATATTAGAGATTCATGACATGTCTGTTACTTTGGGGAATCTTAAATTTCTATTATTATTTATAATGTAGAGTGGGGGTTCTCTTCTATTTAATTTTTCTCTTCGCTAGTCGAGTTGATTCTTTAAAGAAGAAATTTGATATCTGTTAGTTTCAATTGTTTACTAGGGTTTTGCTATTGGATCTGCTGCTCTGGTTTCATTGGCTCTGTTCGGTGCCTTCGTAAGTCGAGCTGCGATCTCAACCGTTAATGTCCTGAGCCCCAAAGTTTTCATTGGGTTGATTGTTGGTGCCATGCTGCCTTACTGGTTCTCCGCCATGACAATGAAGAGTGTAGGCAGTGCTGCCCTAAAAATGGTGGAAGAGGTTCGAAGGCAATTCAACACCATCCCTGGCCTTATGGAAGGGCTTGCCAAGCCTGACTATGCGACATGTGTCAAGATCTCTACTGATGCTTCAATCAAGGAGATGATTCCTCCTGGTGCCCTTGTCATGCTAACCCCTCTTATTGTGGGTACTCTCTTTGGTGTGGAAACCCTTTCAGGTGTTCTTGCCGGCTCCCTTGTTTCTGGTGTACAGGTAATTTTTTTTTTTTTCCATACTTGAAATTAACCGCGCTTCTTAGTCATTTTTCCCCATGGTGCCCTCTCCTTCCCTCCCTCCCTCTTATTGGTGTTTTTTCAAATTTTCCTCATGGTTGATGTATTCAAATTTTACTCAGCTTCCCCATTTCCTTGTGTCTCCCTCCTCTCTCTCTGGTATACACATTAGTTCTCTTGGTGTTTTTTCAAATTTCCTTCTTGGGTGGTATATTCAAATTTTACTCAGCTTCCCCATTACCTTGTGTTAGTGGGTTTGTTCATATGCTGTTTTTTTCTTCTAATCCCCCCCTCTGATGTAGAGGAGTTTGATTTGTATGTTCAAAATTTCCTCGATGTTGGTGCATTCTTCAGTGGTTTCTTTTCTGTCCTCTCCTCATTGTCTTTGGTATACTTATTGTTTTTACTGGTATATTCCAGATTTCCTGTTTCCTCATAATGGGTTCTGCTCGAATTCATTTCTTGTTTATGCCACAAGTTTTGGTGTTTCATTCTCTCTCCCGAAAATAAAAAAAGGAAAGTTTTTTTTGTTGTTTCCTCATTAAGGGTGCTGCTGTTGTTGTTTGGTTGTTTCAGAATTATGGATTTTGCTCCCATGCATTATTTCTGGATGCCTGACTAGTTCTTTTGGGTGTAATAAAAATTTCTCAATTGCTCATTATTGGTTTCTGTCAATATTTTCTCTCGTATTCTTGTCTTTCTAAAAATTTCAATTAGTGCAATATGAATATGATACTGTGGTTTGGAGTTGTTCTAATTGTTAATCATGTGGGATTTTACTGATGTTCTATATAGTGTGGGATGACTGATCTGTTATTTCTCAATGAACAGATTGCTATATCGGCATCTAACACTGGTGGTGCATGGGACAATGCAAAGAAATACATCGAGGTATGCGCACCATTGCATTTATGTTTCTTCTGTTCATTCTTTATGTAATGCTTAGCATTAGTGCTGTTAGCCCATTTGCCCAATCCCGCCAGCCTAAGAGGCTGAACCCCACACCCATTTATGTTATTTTCACCTGGGAGGCTGAACCCCCACCCATTTATGATTCTGTTATTTTCTGAGAGAGAGAGAGATAACATTGGCCTGAGTGAGTTTGGAAATGTAAATACAGGCCGGCGTATCTGAACATGCTAGGAGCCTTGGGCCCAAGGGATCAGACCCACACAAGGCTGCAGTCATTGGAGACACCATTGGTGACCCATTGAAAGACACCTCTGGTCCTTCTCTCAACATCCTCATCAAGCTTATGGCCGTTGAGTCCCTTGTCTTCGCCCCCTTCTTTGCCAAGCATGGAGGAATCATCTTCAAGTTCATCTAAAGCATGGAGGAATCATCTTCAAGTTCATCTAAAACGAAAAAGAAGATGGAGAGAGTAAAATTGTGGCCTTTCTTTACTTTGGCATTTTCTTTTTCGAACCTGTGCTGTCTTTTTACATTCCAAGTCTTTTCTTTTTTCTTTTTTCTCGAGCTTTAGTATTTTATGATATTTACAGTCCATGATGAAATGGGCCCTCAAAAATTTTCCCTCCCCTTTGGTAGGTTTTGGTAGAAATGAGGTCTAGGTCTCCTTCAGATTTTTCATGTTGCCCCTTTTTTATGGTTCTCTCTTGGCTATTGTACAACATTTTAAAAATTTTGATGAAATGGAGGAAGGAGACTGTTGTTTGTTCTGACTGTTGTATAGCTGATGAGTGTGCTCTCTCTATACTCTTGAGTTTTTAAATTGGAAAAGAGTTCTATGAATCAATGGGCGGAAGAGCCCGCTGACACTTCAATGTAAGATGGATGTTGTGTAAAGCGCACAGGTGACGGTGCGAACAGCATCCTTAAGAAAATAATATTTTAAACATTGATTTTTTTTCTATTTTTATAATTAGCTTGGCTTAGGTGCTGAATCCCTAAATTTTGGATAAAAAATCCATCTTTAAGGTGGGGCAGCATGTGTACATGTGAGTCCGCTGACTTATAGAAGGCCCATCCTACAATTATGGTTTGGGGTACATGTCCTAATCAGCTGATTGGGATGGTGAAACCCTAACCCTAAGGAGCCCTAAGGCACGTCGGCTGACTTATGGGAACCCCGACCCTACAATGATGGTTTGGGGTACATGTCCCAAGAAGCTGATTGGAATGGTGGAACCGCTAACCCTAAGGTACGACTGAACTTTATCTGAAAGAAGCTGATTGGAATGGTGGAAACCCTAAACCCTGATGGTGACCCTACAACCTGGAGAGTGGGAATTTTTAGGACGGCTGGCGTACATCGAAAAGTAGACCGGACTTTGGGTCCAGGGTGTTTATGTTTCCACCGCAGTTTCTCACGTATATTTATGTCTCTCTCCTTGGTTCTCTCCATCGTGGCCATTATTTTGTTTACAACTTCAACGTTTGAACGGGCTCTCAAAAAACGGGCCCTAAAAAAACGGGCCCGTTTTTTGATGGAACTATTTTGATTGTCGGAGAACTAGTCTGAATAGCTGAAATCGATCAAAATTGCCCGATGTAACAAATAAAAATAAAAAAAATTAAACAATGTAGAGCTGGTTTGTATTGGTTCTTTGATTTGGGGATTTCTATTTGGATCATTGTTTTTTAAAAAACTAAGGTGTAGATTTAGTTTTAGAAATGTATATAATGAAATTATTTATTTTTTATACGAAGAGGTCACAATCATTATTAATCATTAGATTTGAAATTGGATGGTTGATAATGTGTTATTGATTGAGCATAAAGTCCAACATTATTGATTGAGCGTAAAGTTCAAAATAAATTTTTTAAAATATGAAGATTTATTTTCATCTATTAGATTTCATATCAAATAGTTGAAAATAATTATCACGTCTTTATACCAAATATAGATGATATCGTATTATACAATCCCTTTAACTTTTATTGTAAAGCTTACCGATGCATGAACTTTTGGAGAAAATATTAGTTAAAGGGCAGCTATATTGTCATCCTTTTATTCAACAATTGGGAGTGTTGCATCCCATTGAACAAAATGGTTTTAAAAAAGGTATATATCTCTCTCTCTCCAATCCTTCCCCATGTTCTCTCTCAGGAAAGGGCAATATGGTCCAACATCAAGGGGGTCATCTTGCAGTAACTCCCAAAACTACCCCTAAATGCTTGGCATCGCCGGACGTGTTGTTGCCTGCGTGGCAGCGGCCAGCCCGCATATTTTAGAAATCGGGGCTTGACAATAGATATATTTTTTAAATGTAATCCTAATTTTTGAGAATATATAATCTTTAACACGAAATTTTTTTTTTTAAAAAAAATTACAAATAATAATTATATTCAAAAAACATTTAGACTTTTAGTTACCATTGTTTTCATCCATTTTAATACCTCAAATGCGGTCCAGCTACAATATCCGTTCCAACCCGCATGAAACCATTGTTCTTCTCATAAAGTCTTCTAGTTTGGATTTAAAGAGGTTCCGGCTTGTATATACGGTGTCAACCTTATAACGATTCGAGCAATGCGCATCTCCAAAGCTCATTCAAAGAAGCCACATCTAACGGCCAATAGCCGATTTTATATTTTTATTTTATTTAATTAAAATGTTAACTGAATTTTAGGGTGTAGGTTTATTTTTATAAATAGAACTAAATAAATTTATTTTGATCAATATTTTATTCAAAATAATTTTTATTACTTTTTAATTAATTCTACTTACAAAAATGAGGCTAAAACTTAAATTTCATATAAATATCGATACAAAATAAAAAACAAAATTTATTTTAGCCTTTGGATGAGGATGGTTCAATCTGAACCATCAAGCAACTTTTGAGCGTCGATAATACCAACCTATTATAAAATTTAAAACTAAAAAGAAATAATAAAAATCTTCAGAACAGACAATCTAAATAACCTATTACAAGATGCACATTTTTTTTTTTATGCTTGAAATCTTCTTTCCCCAGATCCGGATTTCAGTCAGGATGAAATATGTGGCGATTTGAGGTGTTAGCACAATGGAATGGTATATATTCATAACGACATGGAGTCTGGAGATCGGTTCCATTGAAAGAGAGAGGAGAAACGGTGAGAGCGATTTATATAGGAAAGAAGTATGTGACCTACACAGAAAGTACAAAGAACCTTCATCAAAACTTCGAACTTCGAAAAGTAAGTTGAATGCAACCGTTGGGGATTTTTGGTCCACAAAATGAGCCCTATCCACCTCCCTCTCTCTCTCATGTAACATAAGCTCCAAAAATGTGGTCCATCTTTAATCGAAGTAGTGATGTTAGTATACCCCATACCCTCTATCTCTCATGTAACATAAGCACCAAAAATGTGGTCCATCTTTAATCGAAGTAGTGATGTTAGTATACCCCATACCTTAATTGCACGTTTCGGCTATCATTCCTATTAACAACTTCAAAACCATTAACTAATCAAAAGAGTGGTAGGGCTGGTCATCCACACAAATTACTCAAAAAAAAAAAAAAAAATCTCTCTCTTCCCCTTAACATTGAATTTTGCACCGTACCATCAAAGCCTGAGTAATCAGCTAGGAGGTGTATAAAAACATTGGAGAAGGTAATGTGTAGGATCGGTTGGAATATCATAATCCCTTGGTCCCAAGTTGGGGTGATGTTCATCTACTCAGGAACTCGAAAAATCATAGGGATCATCACTAGAATTCTGAGACACCATGAGCAAAATCACAAAAAACATTAGTTTGCTCAGTCCTAAGAAAACCGTCAGATAATCCATATATCAATTTTACCAATCTGGTATTTTAACGGTTCTTGTTTCGAACATGATCACAATCGGAGTGATTTCCGAATTGAGGAAGGCGTTTGGGCCAGTCAAATTACTATGATTGGTGGTCAAATTTGTTGAACTGGATTATTTAAAATACTGTTTAAACTTGGCCGTGTCGCTTCGGACTCAGCACCTTGCTGAGCCAATTACCTAGTTACTGCTCAAAGACATGAAATAAATTACAAAACTAAAAATTATATAATTTATGGGATCAATTTACAAAAAATTTGATATGCAATTTGGATGCTTTCTACTTTCTCCAAACGTAAATCGATTTATGTGATCCATGTTTGATGTATTTTTTCAGCATATTTGGAATGCTTATGTTGTTGTCTTTGTTTTATTTCACTTTTTAAAATTTTCATTTTAGTCTTTAGCAATTTTTTTTTTTTTAAAGCCTCATCTCAAATCCTTACCCGGAAAGTACTTTCGGCAATGACAATCTCCATGATAGATTTAAAATCAATTTCTAACACTAACAACAAGATTTGAAACTAAAAAATGGTACAAATTTTCCTAGATCTATGAAAACTTATTTTTAGGGTGAAATAGATGGTCCAAATAATTTGTTATAATACACACTAATTTTAGAGCTTAAAATAATAATTTTCTTTCACATCTATAATGTTCAAACTAAGATGATTGATCTATAGGCTTTCCAATACTTAAATTGTAACTTTCAATGAGTTATGAGGTGAGGCGTTACTTCTTTTGATAGACTTGCAGCCTTATCAAACTATTTTTTTAGTTTAAAATATGTGTAGTACAACAAAAGGTTGCCCAACATTGTTTAATTGATTTAACCATTCAAAACTCGTTTGTCCAATTGGCCAAAAATAGTCAAATTTGATTTGATCGGTTCTCGACCAAATCTAATTTTTACTTTGGATTGAACTAATCTGACTAGTTGGTCTAATCAAACTATGCTCGTTTCAATATTACAACATTTTCTAAATCTGATGGAGGATAATCAAAGGTGACTTCACAATAGAGAACAAAAAAACACCAATATGGAAATTCATAGGCTCTTGATCTAATCTCATGTTTATCAGTCCACTGAAACATCTACAACAAGTAATCTCATATCATGGTTATCAGATGAAGGCTAAGTGAGCATGACCCAGTACTCCAGCCTTACAAGATCACAGAAGAACTCAGGCAACAAACCTCCCTTCTCAAATGATGGGGCTGGATTCCCCTAATTCTTAGAATCACAAATGGCAGGTGTAACCATTTCGAAAGTTGCAGGTGTATTCGAAAGCCCCTAAATGGGCTATATTCATTTGGTGTATACGATGGTTTTTTTCGTACGTTGAAGAACCTAATTGTAGACTCGATCCCAAATCAGATTCAGCCTGACAGCTCTATGTTCGGAGCTAACTATAGACTCGATCCGGAATCAAATTCAGCCGGATAGCTCTATGTTCGGAAGATACTAAAGTAAAAGCTGACCATCTTCGGAGTCAATCAGTGAAGAGACAATCTTGAACATAGAGATTTGAAAGCCCCTAAAGAATAGTAATACCACTGCATACTTTTGTATGCAATGGGAAAAAATAAATAATGAAGAAATGAGAATATATCAGGCAAAGTGATAGTAATAAGCCATCACGGTTAAGAAAGAGATTGTCTTTTTTACTGTTTTTTATAATATTGTATAGAGTATTTGTTCATAATATTGTATATGGTATTAGTTCTAAAGTAATGATCCTAATAGATCCACCCACATCCATGTACGCTAAGATCTCAAAAGATAGCCATGTTACGTATCTCTAGAAAAATTATCACTTACCTATTTGGACTTTATTTTTCTAAAGACTTATCCCAAATTTAATAGTGATAATTCAGGTCCGGTAAATATAGGTGCGGAGGATCTAACAAAGTCATTTCC